ATATAATAGTTTTCTTTGTATTTCCACAATTATGAAAACTTATGATAATCTAAATTTCAAATATTCAGTTTAATAAATAGAAACAAAACTTAGTATCTAAGAGTAAAGATACAATCTGGCATTTGAAACTATATAAGTAAGAAAAATCCTTATCCTAATCTTTGTTTTCTTATATTCTCTTTAATTTCATTCTCGTTTAAAAGGATCTGGGGCACACTTTGAGGCCTTTTTTTTAATGGGTTATAAATACAATGCTGATGTTCTGCATTATCTCAAAACTGTATGATAACTGTTAAATAAGTTTTAAAAGTAGCAGTACGAAAAAGAAAAAAAAAGAAAACGATAGAAATTTGGTAAAAAATTTTTCGCTAATAAGCAAAAAAGTCTGAAGAAAAGAAGAAGGATAATATTATTGATACTAAAGGAAAATATTTTAATTTGTACAGGAATTTTGACCTTAGAAATTAAGATACAAATTTTCAAAGGCTGATATCAAAATATTCCGAAGAAAAAATGAGGGATACTAATTTTTTTTTAAATGTAAAGCAGATAATATTGTTACTAAAGAAAAACATTTGAATTTGTACAAAAAAAAAAAACACTTCTTATTTATAATGTTTTACGGATTTGAAAACATTTTTCTTAGAGTAATTTTTTTAAAGTGCTAATATTTTTAAATCTTTCAAACTGTGCAGCGGTTTCTTCTTACGAATACAGCGTTTTGAACGTAACAGGTCTGGTTACATTATCTGGTGCAAAAGAGCCCTTCTGCCCGTGAACCAGATTGAAATCGTTTTGAAAGGACCTGATTATGTCATTGTCTAGGCGGTACGCAAAAACATTGCTTTCTTCTTTGGAAGAGGGAAAACCTTTAGTTATTTTTTATTCATTTATTTTTTTAAAAGGGAGTAGAACGCTGAATCGGACAAAGATGTATCAGAGAGCGCTCTCCAAATCTCTTTAACTTTCAAGTGGTAAATTTTTATTAAACTGCAGAATTTTCAAACAATTCAGTTCATAACTCCCATAAAATTTTTATTTAGTGCTGTGAGTTGTGCATTATTTTAATTTTCTTTGTGCGTTGTTTTAATTTTTAAAGTAATTTTGTTTTGAAAAAATAAACTGTAATAACAATACTAAAAGTTTTAAGAAACAAAAAAAAGTTGAATTCATAATTGTCAAAAACTAAGGAATAAGTGAAACAGGGTCTAACAGATTTACCTAAGTAACACTAATCAATTTTTCAACGCATATTTCTATTTTATTTTTATTTCACTTAAAATGTTACTATAAAAAATGCAATTGTTTTAGTACTTAACGACATTTCAAAGACAAATGAAATTGTGCTATTAAAGCATTTTTTTTAATGCTAAATCATTTGTTCACACAAAAATAGAGAAGTAGTGTATTTCTGCACTCATTTTAATCATCAACATTAAAACAAATTGGACTTTTTCTACTCCTAACGTACGGCAACAGTTAAAACAATTCTGAACCACTCTACCATCCACTTGCTTGAGAACACGCTAGCTACAAAAGTCTATTTCTTTTCAAGTCATTGAAAGGTTGTGCATTTTTATACATAGTGGTTACGTTTTCATAGTAATTTAAAGAAATCAGTTGGCAAATAGTTCGAGTTCTACATTTTTTTATTCCTACAGAAAAGTTTAGGAGTAATGTTATTTGTATGCAGAAAGATAGAATGGGTATAGAAAGCAGACGTTTTAAATAAATTGACGGAATGGAAATTTTACTTATTATTTTTGTTTAAGTTCTAATAAATGTAAATAGAAAAAAATATCATCTAAAATACTTTTAGTTGTAAACTTTATACTTTATGGCTACTGTGAACACCAACACAAATTTGCTAAAATGTTTATTTGGTCTAAGTTATTTCTGATTCCTTTTAAGGTAGTTTTCCTTTAGAAATTTAAAAAATAAGAATAAATAAATAGAATAAATAAAGACATAAAATAAATGAATAGAATAAATAAATAAAACAAAGAAAAAATAACCTTCATTTTGCATTGATTATTCCCTTAACCCTCATGCAGCTACTCTTCTATAGTTTCCCTTTCTTTTAGAGTTATTGAAAAAGAAAAAATATTTTTTCCTCGTAAAAATTAAAGAAATATGAGAATCGAAAGCATGTTATATAACATGGAAGTTTCAGATTATGCATTTAAAGCAGATATATTTGGTACATTTTAAAATTTGATAAATTTGAAATGCAAAGAATTTATTGACAAGAAATATTAATAGAAATTTTGAAAATGATTTATATAAATAAGTCATGAAATTGAGTTTCATATTTCAGAAAAACCAGTTAATTACAGATACTTACTTGGATGTACTAACTAATGGATGAACTGTGGAGTTGCACAGACATTTATTTAAGTACTATTCTTCAAGATATGTAGGTTGAAAATAAATAACTTTGAAATATAATACACTGTAATGCTAATGATTGTTAAAATGTTACCACCAAAATTTCGAATAAGCAAGAAAACGAGATTATTTTAGGTTTGTATTAGTCCGGGGTTTAACACAATTTCTTCTCTACAAAAAGGGCCAAGCGGAAAAATGCCTTGGATTCAAGTCTTATGAATAAGACGTTTACACTCCGACAAAAACATTTTCACATTTTCCTGTTAAGAAAATGCGACTTGCACCATACTTGAATATCTTTAGTTCTGTGTTCTGGAGCAGAACTCGATTGGTAGGTTTATTTTTGGTTTCCAAAGAGTTTTAAAAACCAGGGTAACATAACATCTTTAAAAATTGATTTGTGGTAAGTTTGGAAGGAAAGATACATTTGGTTTTAAAGTTTATTCTAACCATTTCGCCTCAGAGAGCTAACTTTGACATACATGGATAGAAAAATGTTGTTTACGAAAAAATTATTGAAACTCAGAACATGACATTTTAACTCAAAGAACGCAGAGACAGCTTTGAAACTTACTTTCATGTGATGCAAATAGAATATATTAGTTTCTATTTTAAAATTAATAAAAAATAGTTCCACATAAAAATACTAAAATATATTTGCATATTTTGAAAATCGGTCTTTGCATTCGATGCGAATAGAATTTATCAGTTTAAAATTAATACAAAAATAATTCAATATAAAAAGTACTGAAAAATATTCGCATATTGTGAAATGGGTCTTTGCATGCGATGTAAATAGAATTTATTTGTTTCTATTTTAAAATTAATAAAACAATATTTCCATATGAAGGTACCGAAACAAGTATCTGAACTTGGTTTGAAAAAAAAAGCAAAGAAAAGTAGAGTGCATTTGATAAATACGCATGGGGATATTCCTGGTATTTTCTGATTGCAAAGGTCAATGGAAAATTGGTACTTTAAAATTCGCATAACATATTTCTTTCTCAACATATTTCTCTCTTTTCTTCTTAGCTTCAACGGCAGCTGGCATATATACGTATATATAGGTGGATTAAGCTTTAAAGATATCAAATGGTCTTTTCCGCGAATCGGAAGTTTTGGTGAGACTATTTGATTTATTTTAACTTTTATCTCGACAAAATTGCGGATTTTGTGTTAGCTCTTATTGACAATTGCTATGGAAACAAAATCCATCACATCGCAAACGTTGAAATAAAATCTTACAGAAGGTTGATTTTTTTATCTAAAAATCTTTTTGTTCTGTCGTAGATTGTCTTGAAGGAATGAAAAATGATTTTTTTCAGAAATGGGATATCTTTAGAGTTTATAACGTATTTTGAATAACAAGCTCGTTATTTCAAACAAAATTGCATTAAATCTAGGAAGCATACAATAAAATAAGGCATAGATTCTGAAAAACATCTTAGAATTACAACTTAACGTATTAGAATTATAACTAATAGCTAAGAACATTTTAAAAGTATTTTTTGTACTAAGTTTTATGGTATGTTCTTTATTTTGGACGTTTGTTAGGCATTTAAAAATGAATTAAATTTGTAAAAGGGAATAGAAAAAAAATATGTTATTAAAAATTATAATTCATTGTATACTATGACAATAGCCTTAGAACAATTAATGCATGCGTGTTATAAAAATGATGTATATCAAGGACAAACATAAAGGCGGATGGTGTATATGATGGGCGCATATATCAGGTATAAATATGATATATATTTAATGAAACGAAAACAAATTGGGTTTGAAAATTGATTGAATTTATATTAAAGAGTAGAGGAAAAAACGGATTTTGTAACTTATTTAAAACTATAATTCAATGTATATGAAAATGATAACTTTTAAAAATAAATCAATGTATGTCATCCAATTAATGAGTACAAGAAGAAGCTAAAACAGGGAACTAATTTAAAATTTAAATCATATTTTAATTTGCTCATGCATATAACTTAGCACTTTTGCTTAAAAATATAAATTATGATGCATTTTTTTTTAATTTTTTCAAAAGTTTACCAAGCTATTAACTTTTTCCGTTAGGATTATTTGCCTTGAAATTATGCGTCCTTAATTTTCGATGTCTCATTTCTTTATTTTGTTTAAAATAAATCTTAATAAGTTTCAGAATTTAATGTTTTGCTTTTAATATTTCTTTTACAGATTGCAAGCAATAGTAGTTTCAAAAAATTTCAAGAAATAATCAATACGAAAATAAATATTTGCTTAAAAATACATGCAAAAATCTTGATGCTTAAAAAATGATAAAACTCCAGCCTAACTATGAGTAAAATTACTAATTATGTAAACATTTTTACTAATAAATCGCTTGAAATTTATCAGAATTATAGGAGAAATATGCAAAAAAGAAATTAAAAAAAATTAAAAATCACTTTTAATTTTTTTATTTATTTAAACGGATATTTTATGGTTTCAATGAGTTGTTTAATACTTTCGGAAGGATTCTTTTTAATACTTTTATTTTCAATCTTAAATTAAACTTAATGTATGAGAACGGTTATATCATCATGATAGTATTTTCCGTACTTATTTTGATTGAAGCAGCTAATTTCATAAATTACCTGCTTTAGTTGCAACTTCTGATGCATTCATATTTAATGCATTCGGATTCACCTTAAACGTGATTTGTCTTCCTTCTAATCTATAAGAAAATGAAAGCATATTGTTGCATTAAAGTTTTGTTATTTGTTGTTACAGTTAATTTTAAGAAAACGAAGTTAAAAAACTTACTTTATGTTTGAAAAACTATTTTTAGGAAGACCTAACATTTTAATAAGGGTATCAACCAGTTCCTGAGCTTTCTCTTCTCCTATATTCCTGAAAAAATAAAGACATGTAGCTAAAAATATTTCTAAACACTTGTTAAATTCTTTCCTATGTGGGTAAAGTCATAAAATGTCCATTTTAAAGATACCGTAAAGTTATTACACGGTTTTGTAACTCACATGGCTCATAAATATGCTAGCGAAAAATGATGATCAACGGGTAAAAATGGCTCATGACTATTTTCCACCAAAATTACTATTGAATCACCCTTTGTTGCATTTTGAGAATTACTAAGTTTTGACAAAACACAAACGTGGAAAGTGACACAGTAAAGAAAGGTTGGGTGAAAACATTTCTTGTTTGAGAGCAAAATTCTCTTTTCCCCTCTGATCTCTAAAAACGAAGCGTTAAAAAGAAAATAAACAGTTAATGATGATTTTCTTAAAAATATTAAGAAAAAAATCTTGCGATAACTTAATACGTTGCGGAAAATCTGCAAAAGTAAATTGTTTTGAAATTAAAACTGGAAAAATTTTGCAATTATTATGCTTGCGTTTTAAAGAAAAGTTTCGAATCGAGTAACTATGTTGTTATATAAAGAGTATGAAATATCTCTTATAAATATCAGATTAAAGCTTTGAGAGATACGATCTTTTCAAAATATGCATGATTCTCTTTCAATAAAAGTTTACCGTTACACAAGAAACGGATTTAAAATAAAGAATAAAAATACTGAATGTCAACTCCTTCAGTTAATTCCGAGTTTTTCCGAATTGAAAATTAGGTTTTTTCCTGATGTAACAAGTTCGTTCAATTGTTATTCAAATAAAGACGAGTATAATAGGTAAAGGTTCGCACCTTTTTTTCGGTTGAATATTGAAAAGATTTATTCAATTTCGAATAGAATGTGAGTTTTACTTTAGTTTAAAAGCTTTCTAAGCTGACTTAGAACGTAAAGTTAAAGGATATTTCTCTTAATATTAAAATACAGAAAAACTTAGCATTCAGAATTTATATAAGAAATGCGCTAAAATTAGTATTCAAATGCTACTTATTTTACGAATTAATGTTGAAAATGCGTTTAATTTTTCCTGAAATATTATTTATGGAATAATTTTTTATTTTTCAATTTGTTTAATAATGAAAATGCCTATCTTTTATTTACACTCTAAATAATTGAAATAGTTTTCACATTTTGAAAACTAATTCAATATATATTTCACCAATAATTAAATAAACACCGAAGTTGAATGGTGTAAAACTATGGTGTAATATCTAACAGAATCATGTCTTAAAAAAAGTCTAAAAGTTTTACAATTTTTTTAATAAATTGTTTATAATTGCATTATACTACTTTTGTAGAATTCTAAACATTCTATAAAATATCCTTAATTAAAGTCATGCGTTAGAAATCGTTTAATTTTCATTTAAAAAAAAGTAACCAGACCACATAAATAACAAAAATTAAAGTAAATGTAGTTAATTGTTCTTTAAATTGCATAAGCTTTTAAAAAGAAAATTAAAATATTTTATAATCTTATAATAATTACTTATTGAATTATTTTTTATTTTTCAATTTGTAAAATAATAAAAATGGCTATCTTTCAGTAACAATTTAAATAACTGAATTAGTTTTTAAATTTTGAAAAATAATTCAATATATATTTTACCAATAATTAAATAAACACTGAAGTTCAATGGCACAACAGACATAATGGCACATGAGCCATATATTTATTAAAATTAACCTATTAATTATTAAAATTAATTTATTAATTATTAAAATTAAAAAAACCGAGAAAATAATTCTAATAGGAATGCAACTTTTAAATATGTTTCTACAATAAGCTACAAAACTCATAGCTTTAAAAAGTCAAGTTTTTAAAGTTACACAACAACGGAAAATGAAAAATCGGAAAATGAAAAGCAGGTGATTCCCAAAGGGGAATGGGAATCACCTGCAGGCTAAGTTGTATTTGGAGAAATAAGTTGAATGACGTAGTTTTTTTTTAAATATAGAAACATTTATAGTAGAGAGTGTGTATATATAAATCATTCGCAACTTTTGTTGAGGAATCAGCTGTAATTTTGTATAGTATTGTGTAGGTTCATCAGAAGCTTTATTTTTTATCACCACTAAGGAAATAATTTCAAATATTCTACATACTTTGTCCATTACTCACCGAAATAGGATAACCAAATTGCTTTAACAAAATAGCTAAAAACTGTGATACGATCCCCATGGCATGCCAAAACTAAGCTGTAAAAACTATAGTGTAATACCTAACCGAATCGTGTCATAAAAAAAGTCTAAGAATGTTAATTTTTTTTTTAATAAATTGTTTATAATTGCATTATACTACTTTTGAAAGATTCTAAACATTCTATAAAATATCCTTAATTATAGTCAGGTGTTAGAAATCGTTTAATTTTAATTTTTAAAAAAAAGTAACCAGACCACATAAATAACAAAAATTAAAGTAAATGTAATTAATTATACTTTAAATTGCATAAGCTTTCAAAAAGAAAATTAAAATATAAAAACAATCTTGGATATTTGACATTATTAAATATTGTTTTTGATTATGAAATCAATTGAAATTAATTAAGAGAAATTGATTAAAAGAAATTAATTAAAGTTTTATTTATTTAGTTAGTACAAGATTTGCTACAATACTTGCTACAATTTCTTCCATGTTTTAAAATAATAAATCATTATAACCGAATGTTCAATTTAAAGTTCTTTTAGATACCAAAAAGTACATTAAAATTTACATGCTAAATTAATTCAAAAATTAAAAATTAAAAAAAAATCGAAAAATTTAAGTAAGTGTTTGTAGAAGTCATCCTATCATAATGCTCAACATCAAACAGTAAAATTAAGAAAATATAGTAATTCAAAAGTGGCAAATTAAATAAAAGTTAATGAAAAGATATATTATAAATAATTTTTCCTTGATAAATAACTGAGCGTGCAAAAAAGCCACCGTATCAAAATGTACCATCATATGCTTCACCCGTGGAAAATTTCAATATTAAAATAATAAAACCGACTTAACAACGAAATTTTGGACATTAAATTCATTAAAAAGTGGTAAATTAAATATTAATAAATTTTAAGACATTTTAACTAACTTTTCCTTGATAAATGAATAGGAGTCACCGTATTATACTGTCGAACATGTTCTTCGCCCGTGGAATATTTAGATATTCCATTAATTAAAAAATGGAAAATTGAATAAAAGCTATTGAAAAAATAGGTTTTTAACTTTCCCCTGATGAGTAAATAAATGTGGAGAGCATATTATAATGCTCATCATGACCTCCACCCGTGAAAAATTTAGGTATTAGAATACTAAAATCGAAACAACCATAAAATTTAGGTATTAAAAAATTTCAAAAGTAACAAATTAAGTTGAACAGTTTTACTAACTTTTACTTGGTAAGTGAATAAGTGTGGAACCACCGTATTATAATGTCCAACCTCTCCTTCATCAGTGAAAAATTTTCGATATTAAATTCATTAAAAAGTAGTATATAAAATAAAAGTTGAAAAAGAATATTTTTACTAACTTTTCCTTGGTAAGTAAATATGTGTGCGAAGAAGCCACCATATCATAATGCCCAAAATAATTTATACCAGTGAAAAAAAATTAGATTTTGAAATAATAAAACTGAAAAAATTATAAATTTAGATATTAAATAAATTCATATCGGCATATTAAATTATAGAACAACTTTAACTAACTTTTCTTTGATAAGTGAATAAATGCGGAACCACCGTCTTATAATGTCCAACCTCTTTTTTATCTGTAGAAAATTTGGATATTAAATTAACTAAAAAATGATAAATTAAATAAGGGTTACAGAAAAAAAATATTTTTTCTTACTTTTTCCTGATAAGTAAGTGCGAGTAGAAGCCACCATATCATAATGCCCTACATAACCTTCACTCATGGAAAATTTAGATACTAAAATAATAAAACTAAAGCAACCGTAAAACTTAGATATTAAATTAATTCAAATGTGGTAATTTTACTAAAAATAAATGATAAAACATTTTAGCTCACTTCTTCTTGGCATGTGATTAAGTGTGCGTGGAAGGCACCGTATTACATTTTCCTACAAGTCCATCACTCATGAAACATTTAGATATTAAATTAATTAAACAGTGGTAAATGAAATGAAGTTATTAAAAGATGTATTTTTACTAGTTTTTCCTTGATAAGTATATAAGTGAGTTTAGAAGTCACTGTATCACTATGTCCTTTTCATCCACTATGTCCTTTTTCCGAGGAAAATTTAGATATTATATTAATAAAACCGTAATAGCCGTAAAATTTAGATATAAAATTAATTATAAAAGTTGAAAATTAAATAAAAGTAAATTATAAAGCATTTTAATTAACTTTTTTGAATTGTGAAGGAAATAATTAATAATTGATAATTTTATAAGTGTGAAGGGAAAACCATGTATTATAATGTTCAACATGTCCTTCTTCCGAGGAAAATTTGGATATTAATTAATTAAAAAGTGATAAAGTAAAAGTTATTTCGAAAAATATTTTCACTAACTTTTCCTTAATAAGTAAATAAGTGTGTGTAGAAGCCACATTATCATAATGTCCAACATGACCTTCTCCTGTTTTAGCTGCATTTGTAGGTTTCTCTTCATCTCCTCGGACTTCTTTCGATTTTTCATCGTCGATTCCTTCTAAGAGTTCTGGCTGATCTGCCGGCGGGCGTTCGAATGATTGCTGCCGCTCGGGTAATTTAACACTTCCATCCTTTGAGCCTAATGGTGATCGAATATTTTTTTTTGTTAAAAAAATGTTAAAAATAATTCAATTTAATGAATTTATAAAATGTAATTTAATCAGAAGGTTTTCATGTAGGAAATAAATTTCAATAATACATTTCAATATTTTTCTTTGAAATTTTTTATACGAAATAAATGACTTTAAAACTCGAGCAAATTTTTTGAGTTTAAAGATGATCAAAAGATTTTGTTAAAACATTATTAAAAATTATTAAATTTGAGAAATTTGTAAAAATTTTATTTAAGTTGAAGCTTTTAGCGTATAACTTAGTTTTCAATAACATATTTATTACTTTTGGGTTTAAACTTTTATGCGTTTCAAATTAATTAAAAAATTCATAGCACTTCTTTCTTTTGAGTTTAAAGATGATGAAAAACTTTTGATTAAATAATGTTAAAAATAGTTAAATTTAATTAATTTATAAAAATGCAATTTTAACTGAAGTTTTCTTTTATAGTACAAATTAGTTTTCATTCCTATATTTCGTACTTATGATTTGCAGTTTTTTTATATTTAATAAGTTTTTTAATATTTAACAAATTTCGTATTGTTATGTATATTTAATAAGATATTCGCGCTGGTATAAGTTTTAATCTATTGATAAGGAATGTAAGTAATTTTTAATTCATTGAAATATATGCAAGTGAAGAAAATGCAATTTTATTTTCTGAGTTATTTTAAACACTTAATATTTTACTTAATTTATTAAGTTTTGCTTTAACACTGCAGAAAAAATGCTTTATATAAGTTGTAAAACCTAATTGTTTTTTGTGTTTGCTTAATTAATGAAAATTATTCTTTTTTCTTTTTGGAAAATTTGCGTAATGGAATATATTTTACCGTTTGTTTTCAAATATATTCATTCACATAAATTTTCATTAATTTCAATTTGATATTCATCAATTGGTAATTTTATTTTTTAAATAATTTCATTTTTATAGTTAAAGAAAATACAATAATTCTGAAAATTTTTTTTACTTATATATCCTCATATATATCCTTATATATCCTAATTTTTTTTACTATATTAGAGTGCTTTCTTTATTATAATTACTTTACTTTCGTCCGAGTGGGGTAACACAGTTAACTAGAAAAATAACATAGTGCAATTTTTTTAAAATTTGAACCATGTTTTCATTTAATTATGCGCTCTGTTTGAGCTCTAAATAAATCATGCTCATGAGCAAATTTTCTGACGATCCTGTAATTTAGCTTACTAAGAAAAATAATATACGGCTAAATGTTTTAACTTGAACCATGTTTTCCTTTAATTATGTGTTCCGCTTGAATACTAAATATCATAAGTAATCATGCTCAAGAACAAATTCTTTGAACGATTCTGCGATCTTACTGCCGTGTTAAGATTGCAGTAAATTGGAAGAACGTTGTGGTTCAATGCATTCAGCATTGAATATTTAAAACGAAAATCAAGTATGTATGCATTTCTTATAATATATTAATGCTTACCAAAAACTTCTTCGGGCATACTAGGAATGCCACTTGTAACAAATATTCTTCTTGTTTCATCTGAAAAAAAATATCTCATATTAAATTTAAATTTTATCAAAAATTAAAATTTCCCTAAAAGGAACTATAAATTATATAATTGCTCCTGAAATTTTAAATTGAAATATCATTTGTATAAGTTACATTGTTTTTTACATTTCATTGTTTTTATTTTTCTCGCTCTCCTCATTTTTTTTTTTGCATTTGTCGAAAACTTTTTAGGTTGAAAAACTTAGCTCTTATGATTTCCATCTGATTTTTTCTGAAACTATTGTAATTTTATATTCTTGGATATATCCAGGAATGAAACTTTTCAAGTTAATTAAACTTCATAAACGTATTTAAAAAAGTTACATTTACAGTAATTTTACATTTTATTGCAAAAGTTTGCTAGATTACACTGCTGAAACAAAATTTCAGTTTAATGGGAAATACTCATATCTAATTAAAGTCTTATTTATCCAAAAACACAGTTTTTTTAGATACTGATTAAAAGTTTGGCATCACAAAGATCACGAGTAACCTTAGAAAACTTGTTTTTTTAATTATTAAATTATAATACCAGGAGTGCGAAAGCTTTGACTCGACCAGTTTAAATGTATGTTATAAAATTCACTTATCGTCGCTTGCAGACAAGAAAATAATGCAAAACATAAACTTCATTTCTCACTGTTTAAAGTTAAATTAAGTTAAATTGAACACATTTTTAAGTTAAATTACTTAAATTCACTAAATGTCATTTATAACATTTAATCATTTTTAAACGTTAACTATGACATCAACAATCATTATTATGTTTCTATCGTATAGTTTTAAAATCAATATTTAATTATTTTATATCTCAATGTAGATACAATGTAACAATAATACTGATTGATTAATTATTATTGTTACACTAATAATTAAATTGTTAAATTAAATTGTGAGCTGAACTTTGCTCTTTTGAAAACCATTTGTTATATATTTACTGAATAACTTAAAAATAATATTTTTATTTTATATCTGGAACGATTCAAGTTGAATTAATCATTTATGTGTCATTTTTTGCTAGATATAAATGAACATTCGGGGAGAAATGTTTTCTCCCATTTCTCTTATTAATTTTAAACGGTTAAAGAATGTCCTTACATTTCTTATTGCGATAAGATAGACGTTCAGGGAAGAGAAAATATAGTAATACATATCAGTTTCAGTGGCCTCTTGCCCTACAAATATTTCTGTCATATTCGCCTCTTCAGACATTCGAATAGCGAATCTCAGAGATTCTTGGGTCTATTTGAGAGTACGGAATTTTATTGCGACATACGTGAGATTCCTAGGGTCGTAGTTCTATCATAGATTTGCACATCTTTACGTTTTTTTCTTTAATATTTGTTATGACTTATGTGCTTTTTTGCTTGATGTGTATCTGATGAACATGGAAGAACGAAAGAAATATTCTTTGTCACTGGTCACATGTCCCATAGTCAAAACAAATGGCTCAGTCCGAAAATATTTCAGATCGTTGAAGTTGCAATATGCCAAAAATTGAAATATATTTGATTCTCAGAATCAAAGCAGGAATAGTTCTATTTTACGTTTCACTTTATGTGTAATAAAGTGAAAAATTTCATTCTTTGGTTATGTACTATGAAAAGATATGTGCTGGTATATGCAGTAAATTTTGAATTCGAAAAAATGTATTTTGTGAGAAACCAGTTCCGAAAAACTCATATTGAAATCACGGTTATATAAAGGAATGGATACATATATATAGAAGAATTTATAATATACAGGGGCTTAAGTAAGAAGATAAAAAATAGTTCCCCTATTCCATATTCTATAATTTTCGTCATACATTAACATTAGCTGTTTTTAAGTACTAAATTTCAACCTTGTTGAAAATGATTTTTAAATGTTTTAGAAAAACTATAGAGATAATCAGCTCTTAAATTTTCTGCTCCTTACTTCAGATATCAAATCTGTTACTAAAAATTTACTTTTACCTTTTTTTGAAGATGCTTTTAAAATTTGCTTTCAAGTTACACAAAAACATTTTATATCAATATTGTTCAATCTGTTACAAATTAATCCCTCAGCAAGTTTATTTTACATTCATAATAATTGTCAATAAAATAAGTTGGGTCAATAAATAAAAAGTTAATCAATAAATTAAATTGTAACAAAGTGTTATAAGAACCAACAATATAAATAAATTTTAACTAATCGAATAGTAATTTTGTTCCCGACTAAGTCCATCCAAACTAAATAAATGGAATGAGATCATTCTGTCCGTTAACTGTTAATAAACCAGAATGTTCAGTAGAAAAGTAGTTAAATAAGTTAAATATTTAAATAAATAATCTAAAAATTTATAAAATAATTACTTATTAATTAATGGCTAAATAAATTTTCTTAATGCCAATGACATCAAATCAAACTCAATCAGATTACTAAATTATTGTTCTTCATCTAACTGTTTAATAAAATGATCGTTAAGTTTACCCCGGAAGAAGGTGCGGGGGTTAACTTATGGGTCCCTGAATTACAGAAAATCTGATACCTAGAAAGCTAGCTACCTGCTTATGCCTTTTTTTTGGTAGCTGGGTTTCTTTAAATCTAGTTTTCTTCCCTCAATAACCCTTTTATCTATGATTGGGGTCATGGAATAACCATGCTCTTGTTTTGTTTTATTCTGCAGAACATTTCATTTCATATTTTATTTCTGTGCCTTATTTTTCATTTCCAATTAACGTGATTTTTACTAGTTAATAGAGATCATTAAACGTTTGCCGTAATAAGAGCAAGAACTGACATGTTATAGAACAAAAATACACCGTGTATAAAATTGGACGAAGCTTTATCAAAGACCTTGCTTTTTCTAATATTAACAATCGACTCCAGCAAACGTGATCTGATTTTGAGCTATGAACCTCTAATTCAAATAATAAATATTCGATGCCTAGCTGATGAAAAATAACCAAAATAAAATTAAATGCACCTTTAAAGGGAAGTTGTAACTTTTGCCTGAAAAATTGCGATGACGATTGAAATTTTAGCACAAATTTTATTTTCATATACTTTTTATGTGCAATAATTATCTCGAATTAAACAAAATTATATTGATATCAACATTTATGTATGCATTAAAACAATCATATCAAGTATAATTTTACGATTTAATTGATAATATTCGGAAAAAATAACTATCAGGTTTCATAAAATTTTCCGCAAAAAGACTGATAAAACGGTTCAAATAGTTAAACATTAAATATTCAATATCAAAGACTGAAAAGTGATATATTTTCAATAAAAACTACAATGCCTTTTATCAGTATATGGATGAATTTACACCCCCGGGAGCCCTAACGTATACTTAGAAAACACGTGTCCTCCTGGGTAAAGAGACATCAATGAAAAGCAAAAGAGTTTACATGGGGAAAACAATTTTTTTAAGCTGTCGTTTATTTCAAGAGATATCAACCTGTTGAAACAAATGATTAATCAACTATTTTGAAGTCGTACGAAAACTGAAATAAATGTTTATATAGAAAGTAATACAACGAATGTTAAAAGTTTCTTCCGAGTTAAAAATTGGATAATGTTAGATAACTAAAAATAGAAAGACTTTAATGCTTTTCTCTCATACCTTTTAATAAAAACAATCAGGTGCTTTTTCAATTCTTTTTTTTAAATACAATTTAGATGAAAACAATTAAAAAAATATGAAATATTTTCCTTATAAAAGTTTTATTTTTGCTAAAACTAAGCAAATACTAACTGATAAGGCTCAATGAATAATACAATTACGTAATACCCATCGAAATATAAAAAGAATGAGATTTCTTACATATAAATTGTAAAATAATGAAAAGACATAACATACAAGTCATAACATATGCTAAAGGTACAAACAGTGATATGACCAATTACATTGGAGTAAATACAATTCATATAAGTAACATGTAAAACATGAATGAAAATAGAAAAATAGTATATAATAAGCATGTAAAATTCAACTATAAACACATATTTTGATGGCTTAAATTTTTATACAGTGACTAAAGAGAAATATTAACTGGTAAATTTTTTTTCCGATGAATAGTCACGAAATTATTTTTAATACATTAATAATACTTTAACATACTTCATGGGCACTTTTTATTGAAGACTTACGTAGTTACATTGATTATCTTAATTAATTACTTTTTGAATTGGTATAACTCAATATACTTTTAGAATTTAAGAAAATTCTAAAATTTGCCGGTTTTTGTTATTAAACCGCTGATATATATATATATATATATATATAAGTTCAAAATGAAGAATAAAACAAAGAAAAATTATAGACATATGAAAAAAAGGGGGTGGGAAATAATAAGTAAAAAAA